TGTACCTGACAGCTCGGTCAAGTTGGTCATCGCATTGCAATGTGAATCTAACTACGTACCTTGTATGTTATTGGTTGAACTTTACTTGCTTACTGAACTAACATTTAATAAAGCTTTTAGAACTTTGTAGTGACTTGTTTTATGGTGTGTCTGCCTCCCGTGTTTAACGTGGTTTTTCCCCTGACAGTTTTGGTGCATTGGCCGGGAATCGAACCCGGGCCTCCCGCGTGGCAGGCAAGAATTCTACCACTGAACCACCCTAACCCAAAGTCCATTAGAGGTTATCAGAGATAACAACCTATCTATTTTAATCTTGATCAGATAAACCAACTTTATATTCCTTCCATTTACTTTTAACAATCTTCATCTTTAATCCCTTCAAATGCTGTCATAGAACTTGATTTCTTTTCATTTTTTCTTTGTCCCTTCTCACAAAATCCTTCAAACCTTTAACAAGACTCTTTTGTAACTCCTATAGGAAAGTAATTCAGGTGGGTCTAGTGTCCCACCTTCAAAGTCCCATCCTATTGTGTGTGTGTGTGTGTGTGTGTTTTTAAGAATTCAAAACAACTGCATTTTCCCATGGGAAGGATACTAATTAATTTCAAAATCTTATTTCAAATCCATTTGGACCCTTAGTCCATTTGTAACTTTCCAAAATCAACATTCTAATCACACTTTTGCTGTTTATTCCAAAGGAAAAAAATTGTTTTAAATCCTTAAACCTGTATTTAAAACTTCTTTCACTAAGAATTGAAGGAGACTCACCCAGTGCTCTAAAAGTTGCCATTGCAAAGGTTCCTAATAGCTAAAAGGCAGTTAAGAAGCAATTTCTAAAAGTGATTAAGAAATGAGGCTCAGCAAACCTTATGTCCATATAAGCTGCGTTACGGCTGTGAGCTTGGTTGAAAACCCTCAACTCCTAGCCACTCAGCTCACAAGCTGACCACAAAAGGCTCAGTTCCTGCTGTCTACTCACAAGAAACAGCTGTCCGGAGTACATGTGGACAATCTCACCTTTTTCTGGAAAGACTTCGCTGGCCAGAATTCACCATCTGGCCGTTGATCTCTGCTGCAATGCCATCCCTGCTCCTTCAGGGTTGTCTAGTTTGCCATGAATCCTCACCAGAAGTGCAAGTCAATGAATTTGTGAATGGTGGTAGGATATTTACTAAAAATGGGGAAATGGATGGAGAAATTTTAAGATGTATAAATGCTGGAGGAAAGGTAATAAGTAACAAGATCAATTCTGAGCAATGAATGCTTGTCAAAATAAGCAGAAATGGCTATACAGGTAGTCCTTGCTTAGCGGTAGTAATTGGGACCGGCATCTCCATTACTAAGCGACATGGTCGTAAAG